AAATACATAATATAAAAAACTAAACAATGGTGATTAATTACCTCAATGACAAAACATGCAAATAAAACATGTATCTTTCGTATATAGCAGACATTTTCTGCTTCATAAACTTTTCCCTCTATTAAGAAACTACTGGTGAGGTATTACTTAACAGGCAGCTGTATTATCCTAATATACCCTTAGAAATGGGCTTAATAACTGGGGTAATAATAACTAAGTTATTTATAATAAATGTTTACCATCTTGGCCTCCACACCAAATGATTTCATCGTAAAAGATATACATGTATTACAATTATTATGAGGATACTGCATAGTCGCAATGATCCCTTGATACGATGTTCATGCTGCACCATCCTTGTGCATACTTTGCTGCATCTTCGAAATAACCATATATCACTCAACTCATTTGTCTGATGTCTATATTTAGATTACATTTAACGATCTTATATATAAATAACTACACAAACACTTTCATCGTTATAATATAGTCTTAATTATGCAGATCTATTATATCTTAATTGATCAAAAAACAGAAATTAAACAATTTAATTGTTCAATTAGTAAAAAAAAATACAGGGCAATCAATGAATTAAAATAACATCACAGTATAACTGTATACCTGTCAAAATGACAGACTGCCCGGTAAAATGGCCTCGTGTATTTACTTGTAAAGAACAATACCAATACAATACAGCTGTTATCGCTACCAGCTGCTGGCATAGTTAGGCTATTCTTCTCATATTATAAATATTGTATTACATGCCCCATGAAATTTGAAAAATATTTTGACGATATTTTAACCTTTTGACTGCCAGATATATTTTCAGCCCAAAATTCAGCGCAAATATTTCCACATTTTGTAAAATTTTCAGTAAATCTCTTCATCATTTTAATTAATACAATCTCATATATTGCTATAAGTTTTGGATCAAAAGATTTGTAAATTTTTATCAATATTTCATGTGAAGAGGGGCAGACTGTATACAGTCATTTTATAGACAGTGCGAAAAGTTGACAATTTGGTGCTCAAAAGAAAAATAATATTAAGGTTATTACGATATAAGGTTATCCTACCATAGGATCAATTGATCCTCTTTAATTATTTTACAGTTGTTTAAGTTCAATAACTATGAATTTGACATGCAATTATAACCACATTTGCTTTATTAGTAAGTAGCGCATGTGCTTATTTTAATAACAGATGCAAGCCCACGTTCAAAATAAAGCATACAATAAACGCAAACATTTTGCATCTACCATTGTAGTATGATAGGTCGTTCCATAAAAAGCTGTATCAGCACATGGTCAATCTGATCTCTGTACTGCCTAGGTGCATACTTTGCGGTATTCTTCTAATAACCTCATAGTATTGGTAGTAAAACCATTTATTTTCACTGGCATTTAATATCACTATTTTAATGGTTTGAGCAATTTTACTGGGGTTTAAGTTCACGAACTCATGAGTTCTATTGTTATTTGGCATGTTCATTTGGGTTTAACTTAGCAGATGTCACATATCGGCGAAAATAACAAAATTAAAAAACCAGCGAATAATTAATCCTATACAGTATAAGCACTTCTATTAAAGATTCACAAATAACGGTATGTGCAACTAAGAATGAAAAGTGCATACCCAGTTCTTCTGTTAGATGTAACAAAGTCATTCCATCACCAAGGTCATGTTCAAGGTCAGTAATCAATTTAGCATCAGGCATGTCTTGTAGATGACCATTTGCCCAATTCATGAATTCCTTTCAAGGAAACAAAATGATAATATATCACACAGTAATTTACAGAGCTGCTTGAAATTCCACACTATGTAGTTAAATGCTTTGATTTACACACAGCATTTCATCAGTGCTGAAGTATTGCTCCTCGCAATAATTTCCAAGAAATTATCTATTAAGTATTCATATGGTTCAGCTTGGTCTGTTTTAGGCTGAGCATTTCAAGCTCTAGACTTTTCGGCCATGTGTTGTGCGTGCAAGAGATGGTCTTTTCGGCCATGTGTTGTGCGTGCAAGAGATGGTCTTTTCGACCATGTGTTGTGCGTGCAAGAGATAGTCTTTTCGGCCATGTGTTGTGCGTGCAAGAGATGGTCTTTTCGACCATGTGTTGTGCGTGCAAGAGATAGTCTTTTCGGCCATGTGTTGTGCGTGCAAGAGAAAGTCTTTTCGGCCATGTGTTGTGCGTGCAAGAGATAGTCTTTTCAGCCATGTGTTGTGCGTGCAAGAGATAGTCTTTTCGGCCATGTGTTGTGCGTGCAAGAGATAGTCTTTTCGGCCATGTGTTGTGCGTGCAAGAGATGGTCTTTTCGACCATGTGTTGTGCGTGCAAGAGATAGTCTTTTCGGCCATGTGTTGTGCGTGCAAGAGATGGTCTTTTCGACCATGTGTTGTGCGTGCAAGAGATAGTCTTTTCGGCCACGTGTTAAGCGTTATATTTTCAATTTGCCCAGACTTGTAACGCACAAGTTATCAATACAGGAATAAATATGGCTTGTTTGTCGTATAAACATGATCAGTATGTAATACATGTAAACATGCCCATAATAACAAAAATCAGCATGTATGTACAGCTCACAAAAATTCTGTAAAGACGTCATAAGTGGATAGTTAAATTTCAATCATACAGGAGTTCAACCCTGAAGGTTTATCGGAGCCGATCTCGGCCCAAACTGAATGCATTCCCACAGCCAATTTTGCAGGCTCAAGCCATGGAACCTGATAAAATGTTGTCACGTAAATGAGGTAAATACACCACACCTTGACGGAACCAGTATATATTGCAGCTTGCTTACCTTGATCTCGGTTTCCACAATATCACCGTGTACCGACGGATTGCCACATCTACCACTTATTTTGTATAACGGATTGGTATTCTTGTCTCGTCCCGTCACAATTTTAAAATGACTCCTAAAATTTAAATTTTAAATATCATTTTTAAGGTAATGTAATGAGACATTTAGATCCCTATCACTTTTTAACTATTTTTATAGAATAGAATTGACCATATGTTATTTTCACAGGGCCTTGTATGGCCACATGAAAATGATATTATATTATTATACATCTGTCATCGTAACACCATAAGTTACAGGGTGCTGTAATTTTGCAGTATTTTACAGGGTATTTCATTCTACCATATAAGGAAATGCGAATTCCAAATATGGAATGATTATGCATGTAAGTGTCCTCTAATAATAAAAACAAACATGGCTACCACCAGGGTTTGACCGAACTCCACACAAAAAATTTTGCTGATTCTGTTCTAAACTTTTTGTGTTTCGGCATTCCCATGGTGTATCCTTGGAAGGCCTTTAAAGACTCAGACAGCACGCCTTCACATCGACCTCTGTTGCGCGTTGGTCGATACTCACGTTGTACTGTTGTGCATAACCTCATTATCAATACTAGTGAATGTCATGATGTCATCACTGCACAATATTCAAAATAATGTATCCAATTAGCATCCAGGTCTAATACCCTGGCGAATGAACAAACATGGTCTTAGTACCATGATGACCATGGTATTTGATGGTCAACCATGAACTATCATGGCCAATTCCAAAAATACATGACCAAGGTTAAGAATTTCTATCTTGATTTGAACACTTGTGTGTATATTCATGACATCGAATATGACATTTAACATGACATCTATTGATATTCGACTGTCTCAAAGACAAATGAAAAGCATTAACAAAAGACAAAAATATCTGGTCAGCCAAAACGTTAACTATTTGCAGGTCAACTCTACTGCATGCTTTCAGTGGCCGTCGTATTTACGTATCTTGTAAGTATTGTAAGTTGTAAACACAAGTTTATGAGATCCTTATCTTTTTAATTACAGGACGCAACTTACGCCAACCTTTTTTTTAATGAGGAAACAAGAAATTTGGTTTGACACTCTGTTGCCTTTTTGGAAGAAAACTTGTTTATGAACCTGTTGCTGGTTCTCGGTGTTTCTTTACGCAAGTGATTGTTTTTATGTTCATGCAAAGGACGTTGGAAATCGGAGGATAACCTGTTTTTAGTTCTAAACCTCAGTGTTTTTATTTCAGTTTATCTTTGTGCTTTTCTCTTTCCTAATGAAGTTGGAATATACAGTGTGATAACAGCTTCCAAATTTTAAAAATTAGTAAGCCCCTGATTGTAAAATGGAAGAATAAATAAATAAATAAATAAATAAATAAATAAATAAATAAATAAATAAATAAATAAATAAATAAATAAATAAATAAATAAATTTGGAAAGATCGTACTACTGATTTATGGTATTGGATGTCCAACATTCAAATACATTATATTTGTCATTCACAAAATAACTTATTTTAATATACTGTATACATATTTATATACATAATTTGTTTACAAAATGGACAATTGTTGATCAGTGTGTCCTATACTTACATGTCGGTGTTGTAGAGATGAACTAGAGAATCAACATCATAACAGTTACGTTACAAGTGAATCGTGTGTCACACAAATTATTCCGCCACGTACTTTCCAAAGTGACAAATGCCATTTTGCGTAAAACAGGACAAAGCTCGAAATACCGATAGGAAAGTCCATTCAAGTTATAGGGTGGGTAAACCCTAACGCAAAGCTTGGTGAATATATTTACACAGAAATTGTTTGTGTGTCATCGTGTAGAGTAACTCCACGAGGTATTGTATATCAAGTCCGGCTATAAGTTGTATCGAGCCGTACTGTACGGACTGATGTCAACGTTACCAACAAATCTGTCACAGCCTGCTGAGGTCACTGAAGGCGATCGCTAAAGAATGCTTGAAAGCTACAATGTTTGTAAATTACATGGCAGCACGAATACAACGACTGAAAATAGAATACCTGTCCCCGGTGATCAAAAGTGCGGGTACAGATCTATAGATCTACAAGTTGCGAGGCTCTCGCGGGGGTTTTCATGGCGATTGACACGTTTGCTCATCTGTTGTTATTGTAGGGCGCCCCTGTGCGGCGATAACGTAATTTGCTTTGGTAAATTTGCAGTAGCGTAAAACTCTGAATTCTCAGGTATGCAACTACTAGTATGTACTACTGGCCGTTATGTATACCGTAATATATGGATATCTATGGTACGATTTGTCTTAAGGTCATTCGCGGGTATTAGAACAGTTGTGCCAAAATTGCTCTTGCCTTTATATAGCTTCTTAAGTTCTTATGACAATTATTCCAAAACACATTTGACATTTCACATTTTGTCACACGATTTTTTTTCTCAATTTATGATTTCAAAAGGGTATGACATAATTCCAATTCTATAATTAACTAGGAATTTTGAAACAAAATATTGTGATAAAATTGACATCTATCATTTCGCGTGTCAATGGAAGACACAACCTCCGTACCACCCAACTTATATTTGGGTGGTACACAAGCGCAGAATTCAAGAATTTAAAGTTTTAATGTGTTTATTATTGTATTATGATATTTCTGTAAACGCATAATCACTCTTTTCATTGTTTTTTAGAATATCCGCCATGAAGTCTTTATTTTGATTTTTTAAAATTATATTAGTATCTTTTTGTATTTTTAACTCCTTTTTATTCTTATCTATTAGTTAAGAAGTTCTCAGTTTTGATCACAAACGTTTAGTGAGTCATAAAATCAGATACATATCTGTAAAAATGTTTATTCATGCACTCTTTTATTTTATTCGCTTCATTTCGAATTCCTAGTTAGGTCATACACTAAATTATACGTTG